TTCTGGGGAGGTGCCCTGGAGCTGCCTCCCCTGCATTGCTGCTGTGTCCTAAGAGTGCCCCTTCTGTGTGTACCCTGCGTGGTGCACAATGAGTTGTTTTTGAGGAGTGCCTTAACGACTATGCCCTGCTGCTATTGATCCTCCTGGTGACCTAGGAACACCTGTGCTCCCGGTTTGGGACGCTGAGCTACAACAGCACAGGGGGCAAGCCCTGATTTCCGAGAAACCTCTGCCACCATCTGGAGGGATACCTGTGGTTACAGAAAAGCTACAGGGCTACATGTCCCTGCCCCCCACTGCCAAGGAGGACATTGCCACTGGCATCAATGCCTTCCTCAGGGTGTGAGAGGCCCATGCCCATCCAGCTGCAGAGATGTGGGATGCTAAATAAAGTGTGTTCCACCTCTCCATGTGCTGTAGGGGGGGAACCCATGGCCAGGGGAGTTCAGGTGGGCCAGGCAGGGAGGGGGGCAGGTTCTGGGACTGGGAAGGTCTTCCCCTCAGTGTGGGACTTACCACATGTCCAGGAGTGGTGAGGCTGGCAGCTTGGTGCAGGTCTCCCTGTTGGCATCTGCTACTGGCTGCTCCAGGTATCCACATCCCACAGTATGTAAGTGGACAGTGCCTGGCCAGGGCCTCACCCCCAGGGAGCAGCTGGCACTGCTATTGCCCGGTGGTGATGTTGCTAGTTACTAATCATGATGCAGTCTGGGGCTGCACTGAGAGTGAGGCAGCCAGTGGCCAGGGTTCTCTGTGCTGCCAGTGGATGCAGCAGCTGGGGAGAAGGACCAGAAGGCTGCTGAAGCCCTGAGGACCCCTCCTCTGGTGATGTGTCAGTGGAGTGGTCAGGGCAGGGTTGGGGCTCAGGCAGGCCACCCCTGCTGGAGATAATCTCAGGGGTGCAGCCTGGGTCCTGAGACCAAAATATGGGTCAACTCCCACACAAAAGCCATGGTCTTGCAGGCATGATCAGACCAACGATTGTGGTTGGGCATGGCCGTCCACTGTGCCCACAAGGCCTTGACCTTAATATGACACTTTCACACTGACTGGGAATGCACTCACTCCAGGGCCTCATAAATGTGGGCATCCCACAAAAACTGGCTCTATGTCAGCACTGCCTCAAGTGCCACAAGGTCACCAACCTCCTCCTGTGTCCAGTTGGGGATCTAGGCAGTCGGCATGGGCTTGTGCATGTGGGCATAGCTGGGGCTCAATGGGGAGGAACTTGATGACATGATGTCCTGTGCTAGTGCTCTGAGCCTCTGCACAGATGTCCCTGTGATGCCGGCCCTGGACAGCTGGTAGCAGCACCCGAAGCAGGGGCATGGCCAGGGATTGGGAAATGCACAGCAGAGGCATTTCACTACAGGATCTGCAAGGACAGGTAGCACTCTCAGGGTCAGCAGCAGCAGGAAGCAAGTGCTGGCCCTGGTGCCAGAGACAGCCAGCCAGCAGCCGTGGGGGGGTACCAGGGCTGGGCAAGGGGTGCAGCAAGCTTCAGCCCTTTGCAACACTCACTTGTGGCTAAGTAGCACCTCTGGAGAGGGGACAAGCCAGGCAGAGCCAGCCTGTGGCCTGACTAGGGGGCACATGGGGCCTGCACTGGTCCGACAGACTGCACAGGCTTCAGCAAGCTTCTGTGCAGCATACCCAAGGCACAAAATGGCTGCAGGCTTTTATAGCCTGCAGCTAGGGGCTGCTAGAGAGAAGCCTGGAGCAGAAGCAAGGAACCTGGGGAATGCTCAGGCTGGCCTCTAGTGGCTGAACTGACCCAACAATAAAGTTAGTACCAGTGTCTACACAAGCATTACTGAGCATTAACCACCTAAGTTTGATACCTGCATTTGCAGGTATCAAATTTAGTCACAATTAGCCATTTTTACTGAGCAGTAAGGGTGTGCACGTGTAGACATGTTCCTGTACTGCACAGAAAATTAAGCTAATGTGCATTAATGTATCTCATGTAGAGGCATCCTGTGAGTCTTCTCTGCTATGAGATACAAATTTAAATTAATTTGTGACGATGACAAATGACAAACTTTTGCAGTTTAGCTGCTGCTACTTAAGCTAGTTTGACCTGCTTGTTTCAAGGTTTCTTCTAGATCTGAAGGAACAGAGAAGTTCTCCAAAGCTTTAATGACCAGAAGCAACAGACATCTATTTAGGCCTGTTTCAAATTACTAATACATAATGCACAGAGGAATCTAGGCAGACAGAATGGACAAGAGAAATGGACTAAAGCTAATGTCACAGCAAGTCCAAGACAATGGCAAAGTATGTTCTAAAGAGAGAACAGAGTTGTCATTTTGGTATCTTTCACAAATGCTTTTTATTGTTCACTACTTAAACAGTCTTTTTTCATAAAGATCAATTTTAAAGAAAGAAAACAAATGTTTTCAATCTGTAAATTATATTCTGTAGATTTTTTTTTCTCCTCGGTTGGCAAGAATATACATTATTTGTTTTCATTATTTTTAAAACTAGGTTGTCAAAGTAGCACCATTAAGAGCTTCTATATGCCACAAAGTTACTGTTATGGGAGTATGATGGCAGTATAATTATATAGTACATCTTCAGAGAAATAACTCTGGCATAACTGAAGATTACTTCTGTTTCAAATTAATCTGAATGACCCCCATTTTTACTGCTGTTGAATTTTTAAGTGATGAAATGCCAAGGCACTGGAAATTAACTGATGAAGCCTAAACAAGTTCAGATCAGTGATGTAGAGTTTCTTTGTCTTCATCTGAGTCCTATACACTTCAGCCAGGAGCAATATTTTATAGAGAAATGTTCTCTTAATGAATCCAAGTGCCTTTTAGCTCACTAAGAACATATCAATGTGTAGAAGAGGAAGGAAGTCCATTAGCTGATGTTCATGTGTTTGTTCACCAAAATTGTGAGCATAAAAAATGATCAGTATGACCTAGAATTCTCTGAACTTTGCCATAACTATTTGAGGAGGATAGGACAACAGAGCTAAGTGAAAGTGGGGGCTATAGAAAAAATGTTGGCTTTACTTTTTTTTTTTTTCCTTGAGGGATAACTTTTTAAGGGAAGATCAAGGAGCAGGCATGTTCTCAAACCTTGTTACCGAGTAATGGGATTTGTTATTGTACCTCCTGTACAGCACTTAAATTTACTACTTAATTTATGTAATTGAGGTACCACTAAGAAAGAGCTGAGTATACTCTGACTTAATACTTCTACTTATTTCCCTCATAAAATTTTTAAGCAGTAAAAAAGAAAAACAAACAAAACAACCCCCCCCCCCAAAGAGCTGAGCATGATGATAATTTAAAAAGGGGGAAAGAAAAACTAGTGAAAAAATACTTGCACTTAGTCAATAAGCCATAGAAGGGGATTTGTCAAATGAGGATGCTGAGCAGACTGATATTTTTACATGTTCACAAATGCAGAAATCACATACACACCCCCACATTTTGAGATAGTAAGACTAGGCAGAGAGAATGTAACAACTTCACGTATCTCAGCTAGACAGAACACTCCACACACCATAATATACATGTAGATAATTAAATAATTAGACATAAATAAGCATTGGAGTGCTTCTAAGTCTCAAAAGAGTAATGGTTTTGTCCTCATTCAGCTGTATGGATGAATCCTTTGTTCTTAGGAAATGTAACAGAACTCAGAAAGGTGACACAAAATGTACTTGCCAGGTTTAAAGGAGGTACATTTTCTTCTAATACTGTGAATGTTTCCTTTTCTGCCTTCATTAAGGAGTATACATTCATCTAGGTTTCTTCCGCCAAGCATGACTGAACCCATGCCATGTTGAAGACTTGCAGAGGCCTCCAGCTTATACAGCCAAATAGATCTATATTGGCTTTTTTAATAAAGACCTGCAGGCTTGACCTAACCTGTTTACACATGAGAGAGAGAGAGAATGACAGACATTGCTAAACCAAAGAAAGTTGATTGAGAGTTGCTTTAGAGTGATCTCTGAAGTGCTCAACAAATTTGTGATTTTGTTGAGAGTCAGGGTACAAGATAGGATAAAGCAAACGTGACAAATCTGGGCCTACTGAATTATCCCCAAGTGTCAGCCAGCATTCTGCAGTATCACACAATGATAACACTATCTCGCTATTTGCTCTCAGACCTTACTCCTGAAGAATAGAAAAGAGAATGGTTTCACTAAAATTTATTAACACTAAAGCTAAAACCTTTTTTCCCCTTTTTTTGTTTGTTTCTGCTCAAATGTCAACACAATTCCGTGGAAGAGGTAAAGCTAAATGTTCTGGACCTGCTTCTTCCTTCTCGGTGAATTAGCAGTGTTGTAAATTAAGTGATGTGTTATTGAGAAGGGCGGGCCTGCCTTCCTTTCACCGAAGTAAGTCTTGGATTAATATTTTCTGGAAGCTTTCTGCTGGAATTTTTCCCCCAAATGAAAACAGAGCATGTAGCAATGAAACATTATTAGTTTGTCCTTAACATTTTAGTAAGAGCACCCTCTGGTGGTTATTAATTAAAAGCCCAAACAATTATGTTTTTTTCCTTCAGAAATTGCATAACATATTGGATATGACACTATTTTGATAGTTAAGGTGTCAGGTTCAAATCTTTCTGCTGTTACATATTTCCATTAACCAGCACAGTGAAATATATGAATACATTAACCATTTTTTAACCCAAAACAAAATATATAAAATGTTCTAATTGGTGCATTCAATCACTTTATATAGAATAAATATTAATTTAATTTAAAGGGGTCAAATTAATAAATAGAAACTAAGGACATAAACATTCGTCCTTTTAAGATTTATTACAGCATATTTAGAGTCTCTGGGAAATTAGCCTGGACTGTAGCATGCTTAAGTGGTCAAATCACATGTGTTTTCCTAACCTGCTTGTACTGTGACCACATCATGTTTACCAAGGTTGCTTTAACATGTTTAATTATGACAGGCCACATTTTCCTTATCACATGCACTGTTAACTCCCAAGAATGATTGTTTAACGCTTTCTCTCAGGTATATTCCATTTGAAAGTTCCTGAGTCCTCACCTGTTGGTTCAGCTATTGGGAGAATCAGAGCTGTGGATCCTGATTTTGGGGAAAATGCTGAAATTGAATACAACATTGTTCCAGGAGATGGAGGAAACTTGTTTGACATCACCACGGATGAGAACACACAGGAAGGGGTTATCAAATTGAAAAAGGTACTTAGTGCACATCCAAGATATAAGCGAGTAGCTAAAATTTGAAAATAAGTAACACAAACAATTTGGAATCGTACATGATCTGTATTATATCATGGGGAATCGTAGCCTCTTTGACTCAGCTTCTTGTGTTTATGAAATTTTTTGTGTGTGTTCATTAACAAAGGACTTAGAGCTGAGTTTACAAAGGGACTTGGGTATTTTGATGCTAAATACCTTGCTCAGTTATACAGTGCCTGTTAAACATCAAATGAATAAAGAGTCGGTGGAATAGGGAATGGAACCCAGATTTCTCCATGCAAGGCTCCTTGTCCAGGTGAAGGCTGTAATCACTGTCTGCTTCTTCTATGACTAAGGAGGCCTAATGACTCTTCAATATATATATTTTAAATAGTATAGATTCAATAACAGAGTGCCCGCATCTCAGAAGAGCCTATAGGTAGATGGTTGGGATACTCTTCTCGGAGGTGGAAGGTGTGATTTTTAAATCCCTCAGCCTGAGAAGAGCTTAGATTTCAGGACTCCCACATCCTGGGTGAGTACTCTAACCAATGAGCTATCAGATAAAGGTGGAGGGCCTCACTACCAGTGTATTGAATGGGAGTGGCTATTACCTTTGTATTTTGTATGGTGTTAGCTGCTGTAAATGGATGTTAGGTGTGCTTAGAGCTTGCCTATAAGACTGAACCTCTCACAGGATTTAGGCAGAAGCATGCCTAGTTTGAGGATCCAAATAGGCAGTAGATGAACAGTGAGTTACTTGGTCCTGTCAAGATGGAGGCAGTCTATTGTAAGTGTTGAAGGGCTGCTTTAAAGATCAGGCACTTGTTTGGAGGACCTCATTCTTGTGCTTAGACTCCTATAGTTTGGGTGACCATAATAATTGTAGGGAAATCCAGGATGGAGGGTGCCAGGGGGAGATAGTGTGCATGCACGCACACACACGCATGCACGCACGCGCGCGCGCGCGCACACACACACACACACACACACTCCTGACCCATCACCTCCCAGGAGTAGGGCCAGCCAAGACAGCACAGCACATACATGCAGCCCTAACCTGTGGACCCCAGGAATGGGGCCTGGTGGGGCAGTGAGGCATATACACCCAGCCCCAACCCAGCATCTCCCAGGAGTGGGGTAGTGTGGGACAGTGCGGATGCCTGTGGCTGGGCTCCAACCTCCATAAGAGGCTGGACCCAACTGGGAGCAGCCCCTGTGCAGTGCCCCCCGGAGCTCTGCTAGCCTGCGTTGTATGGCCACATGGTGCTTCCCCTTGCTGCCATCAGCAGGCTGGGGCACAGTCCCAGGGCAGAACGTGGAGCCCAGAGCTGCCCCCTCCCCCCCCCCAAAATAAATAAATATGGGTCCCTGGTAGCTGGGAGTTGGGAAGGAACCCCCACACTCCTCTCACCCCCATCCCCTTCCTGGGAAGCCCCATCCTTACTTTGGCTCTGACTTGTGGTGGTGGCAGCTGCTCCCTGGTTCCAGTTCCACTCGGCTGTGAGCCTGCAATCACTTGCCCAGTAGAGCCAGGCATGTGTGGATGGGTACCTGTCAATCCAGGACTTTGCTTCAATTTTCTCCAATGACCAGGACACTGAGACAGCCTCGAAAATCTGGGACTGTCCCGGCCAATTTAGTCACAGTTATCAAACTATATCTATGGGCAGAACTAGATGATTTTGTGAGGTCCCTTTGTGCCCTACCTTCTTATGATCCTATGTCTGTCACCTGATCCTTAACCTCGACTCCATGACCAGGGAGGTATGCTAATAGTAGGTAGGGGAGAACTGTTTGCCTCAAAAGGCTATCTTTCCTTGTGATACTGAACCTAGAATTTCCATCTTTGCTTATTTCCCAAGTAGTAGAATTTTTTCCTCCATCCCCTCCACTCCCACAAGCTTGCATAGCCCATGATGTTTGATGTAAGAATGTTTGGAAAATTAAATGTCTTGCTTTAAGAAAAATTTGGAGCACCTTTTTGTCTCAGTAGATAACTCAAAAACAGCTACACTTTGAAATGTCACACTTTGCTTCTGGATGTCCTTCAATGTGCTTTGCCATGTTTGAAATGGTAATGAGCATGAATGGTTGAAAAATCAATGCTGAGCATGCACAACAGGATTTGATCAGATTAGATGCTCCCTGCCCATGAACTTACTCTTAAACCTCATCTATGCCATTTTTATCCCTCCCCAAAATGTACTTTTGTCACTTTTTTAGCTGCATAAATATGTACAGGTTGCTTTTATGCAAAGGGGAAAAAAGCAACATCAAGCAAAGGTTGTTTCACCTTACCAGTAAACTACCAGATCTAGATCTTGATTTTCAAAGGTGCTGAATATTTAAAGTTTCCTTAAATATCTGCTAAAATGTTTCCTTAAATGGCTGCTAAATGCACATGACTTACACTAAACAGAGCTAGTGAAACTGCTCATGTGCTTACAGAGAAGGATTTGCATTGATGTGGCTACAATAATGTACAAAACACTGAGCCTAAACAAAGCTTCAGGCTGCTCTGGAGAATGCTTTAAGAAGTCAGTGAACCAAAAAAAAATGTTGGCAAAAAATGATGGATCCTGAATCTGAGTAGTTTAGTCTCTCTACACTATTTTGCTGTACTTATTTACTTAACCTTTTCATTAATAAGGTTTGCTTTACCTGTTATCACATTTACAATAACAATAAAAAAAACACTGGAATCAATTGGTCAGTTGATACTACCTAAAGCAAACAACAGAACTCTTCCACTTCATAGCAATGCAGGGAAGAGAGAGAAACTAATCCTCCTTTAATCTTCCCCATCAGAGGAAGCCTGGAGACAAAGATAGGCTCTGAAGGTCAAGGAACTATTCTGTGTTGGATGAAGGAATGCAAAGGGAAGATAAATCCAAAATGCAGCCCTTTCCCCTGAAAGAAATGCCTATCTGAATTCACTCTGATCCTTCAGATGGCTCATTACATAACTCTCTCATGTGAAAAGTCCTACTGACAAACACTTTACAGACTTCAATGGCTCAGGTGCTTTCAGATTCACAGGCTAAAGTGCTCAGGACTCACTGCTTAAGTGGTTTGCTGGAGGGAAGCCTTAAAAAAAAGTAAGTTAAACTTCAGGTGTTCTGTGGACTTAGATATCTTATGAGTGCTACAGCCTTGGTGTACTCAGCAAGACATGTACTGTCTTTGGAGTCAGGAACATTTTAACTGTAGTACTGTTTTTTGTTAGAGTCTATAATATATTCCCATTTGAAATTTTACTCAGCAGTGCCCTTGTCAAGGACAGTAATAAGAGTGTACTGGGGTCCTAGAAGTTTATAGAAGTGTATCATAGAAATGAAGTCCTAGATAAACATCTTGCTCTTCCATATTAATTAGGGCTTTTCTTAACATAGAGCAGCAGTTCTCAATCTGTGGCATGCATTAACAGATTTATTATAATCACTTTGTATGATAAAAATGTGCTGGTGATACTTAAGGTTGTATCATTTTAAACTGGTGGTGTGCAATCTGGCAGAGTTTGGAAACTACTGACATAGAGGACATACTGCAGAATATCTTTTCACCACTAGAGCACACTCTTAAATATTTTTTCTGGAAAAAAGGGTAAGTCTTTATGAAAGTGAATATTTAAAAAGTGTTTAGAATGTTTACGAGAAATCAGTGAGGACTGCCAATGTTTAAAGTTTTAACATTGGATAGATCCTTAAGTACCTCGCTAAATAATGAGCAAACTTTAGGATACCAATAACTATCTCATTAAAAATCACAAACAATTAAAACACTGCTTGAATGTGCAAAGAATTGTTCCATGTTTGCAAAACAACTTTACTTTCCTTTTTCCTCCTCTGCCTCCAGTATCACAGCATATTAACATCATGACCACAGCACTGTGCTATCTTGAGAAAAAGATGCTTTATTTCCCTGCAGACAAAAACTCTCATTTATAACATAATGAATTTTTTTTCCCCTCAATGCAGAAAACATGATGAAATCTCCATGTGACAATAAAAAATGTTTCCCTGGACTAAAATTGTTTTGATAAAAAACTGACACAAATCTCATATGCCAGGTGGATGCTTTTAGGATTCTGAGTGAATTGACAGAAAGAGGCAATTCTATGCTTTCCAGACATTTAATAGATTTTATAAGGTAATGTTTTTCATCTGGAATAGGTGTACAACTTAAATTTCATAACTTAGCTCATTGATTTAACTTCAAGGTAGGATCTAGTACGTATGCTCAGTTATTACAATGATCATTCTATAAGAAAAGGAATATATTATGCCAGCCAGAGCATCCTAGTGATATTTAGAACCACGGTTTGGTTCATATTATAATTACTCCAAAGGAAAAGAAAGCAAAAAGGCACAAAAAGATAAAAATTCCCTATGGGTTTAGAACAGCCTATTTCTCTTTTGTAAAGCTTCCATTATAACAAACAAGCAAGAGCTACATTTGCCTATAAATTGTGCTGCAAGCTCAGATTACATGTGCCCCAGCAAGCTGTTAAAACCGGTCAGGGAATATTAAAAGTTTTTATACACAGTGATGGTTAGTATAAGCCAATAATTCCCAATAAACTGTGCTTTGTTTATATGTAGGTGAGAGAGGGGAAAAGAGAATAAAAAGGAAGGAGACTTCAAAATTTGAGGAGGAAGAGAAATATATCTATCATTCTCCTTAGTGCTGGCAGACACCTAGCTATAGGCAAAGCATGATCTCAGAAAGATGATGTTGGCCATCAGGAAAAAAAAGGCAAAAAGTAAGGAAAAGGAGATCTGAATCTTTGTGGTTGGTTATGCCACTTTTTTGTAGCTGTTCTGAAACCCTTAGTGAAGAAACAGGTAGGGAACTTAAGGATCTCCTTAGTGATAAGTGGGAAATGTATCCTTTGGGTAGACCTGTATCCCCACCTATTCACTTTAAACACTTCAGCTTTTCCTGTACACCTCTACATAAACTTTCTCCAAGACATCCTGTCACTGACTAAGAGCAGGGGAGCTCAAACTCTGGCCCATAGACCGAATGCAGCCTGCAAAGCCATTGCATCTGGCCCACAGGGCTCCCCATAGATCAGGAAATGTTGTGACAAGAGAGCAGTGGCCATCAATACAGTCACGCTGCCCCTGCCAAATTCCCAAACCCTAAGCCCCGCACACCTGGTTGGAGCCAGGCTACACCCTCTTCCCCCTGTGGGGCTGGATTGGGGTTGGGCCATGCCTGCTTTCCCCACACTGGGCTGATTTGGAGCTGGGTCACTCCCCCTTCCCCCATGGGGCTGGGTTATATCCATCCCACCCTGTAGGGTCAGGTGACACCCTCTTTCACTCCTGAAAGGCCAGGCTTAGGTGATACAGCCACCCCAACCCCGCTCTGCATGGCCAGATGGTGGCCACCGTACCAGCCCTGGCCCTGAGGGCTAGATCAGAACCACCATCTGGCCCAGCATCAGACCAGGCACTGCCCATCTGGCCTGCCACGGAAAAAGTTTGAGCACCACTGACAAAAAGCATCTTTTCCTCCAGGATGCTTTTTACTTACAATATGTGACTTCAGCTTCTTCTTAAACAGCCACCTAAGTCAAAGAACTAATTGCTGCTGCGTCATCTTTCCCTGTTGTGAAGGGATTGGAGCTAAAAAATATATCTTACCCTTTCCCATCAATCCTTGAAGCAGCAGTATGTCTCTTGTTGTCAACTCTAACGAAGAACATAGAAGTATTTGATCTGAAGCCTGACTTAACACGTATCATACCCTGAAACTTTCATCTTTACTTTTACCATTTCAGATCCAGACTTGGTAACCAGCACTGGAAAAGTGTTGCTTTTTGGAACCTTCTGTTCAATCAATGTGGTGTCTCTGCACCAATGAGATCTCACTGAATGCTAGGGTGGGTAGTCTCAGATAAATCGAGGTCTGAAGTGTAAAGGTCTGTCCCACCCTCAAATAGGACAGGGTTATGGGTTATGCTTATGCTGTACCTAGTAAATAGGTAAATGCAGTAGGTTTCTAAGGTTGTCACTCCTGCAGCTTTCATGAGTTCTTCTTTTCTTTTCTTATTGTGTGAACAGGGAATGAATACATTCACTTCTTTTCTCAACTGTCATGCTTATCACTGGAACTCATTAAGCCGTTTTCAGCTTATGTTGGCTTTTGTACTTCATATATTTTTGACAGGCTTCTATTTGAAAAAAAAGGTCTATTATTCCATTTTACTTGCTCAATTTACATTAAAGCATTATATATTTGTCAGCATGTATTCACTTCTAAATAGGATAAGGGAAGCAATAATGCTTCAAACTGTATTTACTTTCATATCAGAGATGCTGATGTGCTTTCCTGTTCACACTAAATAAACCAGTTCATGGTATCTCTTGAGAAGAAAAACAAAGTGTTTTATCATTATGTGTTATTTAGTTTTAGTATTTTCAAATTGCCATTACTACACACAGCTGCACATATCTGGTAGTGTTCTGATAGCTTATATCCATGAAGACAGACAAGGGCTGGTTGGAGAGAGACAGACTCATCTATTATGAGACTGACACTTAGGCTACCATTACAAAAGTCTCCCATAATAGATATATAGACTATGGGTAACAAAGAGCTCCCATGGTGCTATCAAAACTGAGATTTCATTATGGAAAAAATCTTTTCGAATTTGAGAAAAAGATAACCTTTCTATGTAGCAAGTTTTATAACTGACCTTTTGAATGTAATAGGACTCTACAATAGGGACAAGGATTTCCTACTGGTCAACTGAAAAAAAAAGGTACAAAGGTTGTCCTTTGGTCTTACATTCTATAGGATTTTAGCAACAGTTCCATATAATGGTACTGATGTCCTTTAATATAACCAAACTGTTTTAATCCCTATTTCATTCTTCAGTACCTCTCCATAAGTGTTAGCATATTATAATTACCATCTTAAAATCCAGAAGTGGCTGTAGAATCTTTTAGGTAAAACAGATGGTTGTTAAGGTATCGAATATACTTCCCTAATAGGGCACAGGTTCTGCTATTTGGAACCTTTGAAAATAAAACTTACTTGTTTATCTGTATTCAAAATTTCCATGCACAGTACAGTTTAATTCCATAAGTTTACCACCATATGACAGCATTGCTATGAAAATTCTGGACAGGTAAAATGAAATAACACGCTACAGTTAATTGCTGCATTCATTAAAGACACAATGGAGAACAAGCGCCTTTCATGATTTGATCAGTGTCCACAAAATGAGCCTTTGGAGTGGTATTCGTAACCCTTGTAAATCTCAAGATTATAGAGATTTGGCATGGAAGGTTCCTTCAAGACAGTCATCCTTCCAGTTTTCCAACAGTTCCCTAGTACAACAGGTGGCTGCCAAGATTTTGGATGCGAGGCCAAGACTGATTTACTTATCTGTATGAGTAAGGAATGCTACCAATCAAACTTGCATACAGTCATAGATTTTTAATAATATCATGACTGGAGACATTACAGATGTCCTAAGACTATAAGTGGTCAAAAATAAAAACATGGTAAGATTAAGTTACAAGAGCATAACACTTGAGTTTTGGACAATGTGTCAGAGTGCAGTGGAGCCTTCTCTGTTCAAGCACATAAGTTTCTTAACCAAACAAAGCTATTACTGAGGCAGGTAGCCAAGCACCAGGTGGAAGTCTAAGCTTTGAAAAAATGCCATAGTGATAACCTAGGAATACTTATGAAGAATACAATTCGTCAAAGCTGCTGCAATTATGAATCTCACCACAAAAAACATAAGTTTATGGCAACTGTTAATGTGTTATACGTAATAGAGCACCCCAAACATTCCTTTTGTGAATCTAATCAAAGCACATCACAAAAGTTAGTTTTCACCCTGTATCATCCTCCTCTAAACGTATCAAATTGCAGTTGAGCCTTGCAATACCCTTATGTTGAAAGATTTCAAATTGATATAGAGGTGTTTGTTATGCTAATACACATGTTGCAGTGGATTAGGAACCATGCCTTCCATCTTTGTGAAGATAGGGTGCGTTTACAATCTGGCTAATGACAGGACCATCAGAAAAAAAACGAGAACACTGGAATTCAGCATGTGCTGGATGTGACTCCTACTGTCCCATCCTTTCTCTCTCCCATCCTCAGACAATATCCCAACTTGTATATTTATCCCAATATATATGATTACTGTCAGCCCAGTTACAAATCTTTTACTTGAGAGAAATTTGCACATACTTCAGGGAAATGTTCTTTGAGTAAAGATGTCCCCATTTCTATGAGCAGTTTATTACAGTCAAAATTTTTAAGCATGGAGATTTACCTATTATAGGGTTTATCTACACATAATGCTACATTGCCATAGTGATGTAGCATTAACAGGCAGAAACTGTGACACTGATGCTACCTCACCATAGTGATGAGTGACCTCACTAGAGTGCATCACTATGGTGGTACAGCTGCTAAAAATACCCACGTGCCACCAGGATGGTGCAGTAACAGCTGTTACTGTGCTGTCATTTAGTACTTCCTAAAGCAAGTACTAAATGATGGTGCAGTAACAACTGCGCCATGGGGGGCATGTGTATATGTGCCCATATAGACTTAGATGCCCACTTAGATGCAAAGGAGTTGGCCATATTGTCTATTAAAATGTGACATCTTTCACAAGAATTTAAAACCATCATGTCATGTTCTCAGTCAATGTGAATGAATGTAACTGGTGATTTTAATAGAGCTACTACAGTTTACACCAGTTGAGCACCTGGTCAGTTATGTCTTGCTGTGACTAGGGTAGAAAATGACGTAGTTTAAATCCCTGCTAGCAGTGGAAACATACTATGGGGGTGATGCTGATAGAAATAAAAATGAGAAGCAGTAACTTATTTTTGATGCTACAGATGTAATCTCGTCTCTTTACTTAAATACGATGTCCTTTCAAATGGAAAGTTCCTAATGTGACAATTATACGAACAACCACTAGGTGACACTATCACATCAGAAAAACACTACTTCAGGAAAATGATGAAAGTTTGAGCTAATGCACCTAAACATTTGTATTAAAACTCAATGCTTTTGTATCTTTCTGGATAGGAATCAGTACAATAGTCTAAAAGAGCTGAGAACTGGTTACGTTACAAAAACAGAGGCACTGGGTGGATGTATATTGATAGAAATTCAGAACAAACCAGCTCCATTTCAACATGTGTCTCTGTCAAATAGCTACAACATGCTGTGTGCCAATTGACAGTTTGCATTCAGTCCCTTATAAATCAGAGCTGTATTGATCCAAGATGCAAAATGTAATATGCATTTTTAAATATAATCTAGCCCCTCAAGTTCTCTAAGTTTGTGGGTGTTTACATTTAAAGGTTCCTTCTGCCAATTCTAGAATAAAGAATTAATCTGGATTCAGAACTGCACTCTAAAGTTTGGTTTATGTCCCCTGTGTGAAGAATTTGCTTTGCACACGTTTTCACTAGAAACATCACAGTCCTTCCCTGTGATGAAAGGGGGAATGGCCCTTGTGTGTGAGGAGCTGACATGGGATGTAGAAGATCTTCAATTCCTAGCTTTACTATGGATTTCCTGTGTCCCTTGGAGGTTGGCTGGGAAAAAATAAAATTAATTATTATAATTGTGCTATTTGGAGGGGGTTTCTTTATGCTGCTGGGCCTAGTGATTTGGGCAATTAGACAAATTTGTGGTGTGTTGTCTAAACTTCACAATCTTCAGTTACAAATCCATTTAGACATGTTTAACTTCTGCCAAATCTGATTTAATTTTTATCCTTACTTACAGCCATTGGACTTTGAAACAAAAAAGGCATACACCTTTAAAGTAGAGGCCTCCAATCTCCATCTTGACCATCGATTTCATTCTGTGGGTCCATTCAAAGATACTGCTACCGTGAAGATCAATGTGTTGGACGTGGATGAACCTCCCATTTTCAGCAAACCTATGTACACCATGGAGGTTTATGAGGATACACCTGTTGGGACTATTATAGGTGCTGTAACTGCACAGGACCTTGATGTGGGCAGCAGTTCTGTTAAGTAAGGAAGCATTTTCATTCTTACATGACTTCTATACTAACCACACTTATGCTAACAATAAGATTGAATGGAATGATGGATCAGAGATTGGTAATGAGATGTGGCCCATTTTACCATTCTAGGTAACTATTGATGAAAGTATTTATCAGAAGTCTACACCAAGTTGATTAGCTTTCATGGTAAGAATTGGCTAGATATAGTAGACTACATAGACTATGAACAGACATACCACTTGCCCCAGAAGAAAGCCTTTTGTCCCAGGATCATACAGATGTACATGTCCACTGTCCCCCTCCAAGTCCCACCAGATAAAATGTATTAATACTTTTTCCTGGGGTATCTTTTACATCTGTATGGTTGTTTTTGGTTCATTCCAGTGACAAGCCTGTCAGGCTGTGTGCTTTTCCTGGCCACCTACTGGGAAAGGAACAGAAATGCAGCTTAGAAGGTCAATGTGGGTAAATGATGGTGCCACTCTTGTTTTGAGACAGATCAAACCCCAGGAAAGTCAGACCCCAAACAAATGGGACATCTATTTATAGCCATAGGCTGTTATCATCTTGATAGATACGTGCCCATGTCACAAAAGCACCATGTCAGAAGATATAAACTGTCGTGACCTCCTTATCCAAAGCAAAGGCTCTGGCCATTCAACTGATGGTGCTAACAGTGGTTTCTCCAGGGAGTCCATGAAAAACCATTCTGTGGTAGACTGGAGAAAGTTGTGGGAAAGCAGGGTGGAAGAATAGACACAACTATTATACTTACTCCCCCTATATTGTGCATAAATATAGGATTATCAATGCTGTCTACTTCTCAAACAACAACTTATTGGTCATATTTAAAATTCCATTCAAAAATGGTTTTTGAAGAGTTAATATATAATTATTATATGTTTTCATAAATAATTAATTGTTATATGTTGTCATAGGCTGGATCCAGACGTGCAGGCACATGTGTTTTGTGGTACCGCAACCCTCTTTGTGGTGCCACAAACGGCACATGTTGCATGTTAAGCCTTACATGGCATTACTAAATTACAGTGCTGGGGAAAAATTTGCTACCTGGATTTCCTGGTAATGAAAAAAAAATGGAACAAAACAGTGGTGCAAAGCATGCCAGAGTGGCATATGCCAGGACAAATGCAGAGATGCTGCGGAGCCCCAACACTGAGGCACTCTGCTACTCAGCCATCCACTCCCCAGCTGGTTGGGGCACAAGTGTGCCTTGAGATGTGGTAATAGAAGTACCAACAGGGAAACTGCTCCCCTGTCTCCACAAGCCACAGCATGGGAGCTCCACTACTGAACCCCCATGCTGAGGCACACAGAGCCCCTGTATTAAGAGACATTACACCCAAGCCAACAACTCTGTTTCAAGGCAAACGGCACCCCAGCCAGATACAAAGGAGCAGCCAACCCAACATGGAGGCTCTGCTGCAGATCCCCCGCATTGAGGCACACTGCATCCCAGCCAACTGTGGATCAGGATAGTACGTTTTTCTCATGGCGTGGTAGTATTTTGTTATAACATGGTGTAATGCTGTAGTATACACGTACTGCTGTATCAGTAAAGTACTTCTAGGGTACACATGGCTTGAGACAGTTTTTACAGAAATGTACAGAAACACTTCTCACAAATGCTCCTACAGCTTTGTGAATGTAGGATCTGGCCTGGCTACAGAATGCAGACAGTTAGGAGCAATGGCAGTTTGAATGTAGTAATTTCCAGATTGTGGCTCACAGACCACTTTTGGGCTGCAAAGCCATGGTAAGTGGTCAATGGATCATACCTTGCCTCTCCACCCACTTTTCAATAAGGCATTGATGATAAGGATACAGTAGTCTGCAAGAAATTATGAAGGTTTGAAAACCATCCGTTGATTTAAAATGTTTGAGAATCACTCTAATACACTTGCCTTGGAGAAAATGTAACACTGTTAAAATATAACTTTATATCAAATTAAGAATAGGATGTTACAGTGAAATATTATAATGGCCACCAGATTTGTATGCATACACTCACAAAATAAGACATGAGCTCAAGTAATATTGTTTTTTTAGACTGAATTATTATATTTATATTTCTGTGCTCATTTATTAGTGATAGATGTTCAGACCCAGCAGTTATGTTCTCACACAATACAGGAACATGATTTAGCTGCCATGTTGCAACTAAATTTAAATAATGGACTGTGCAGTCATCTACTTCTTCATTGCTTGAGCAAATTAACTGAGCACTGACCTTATTAGGTTATAACTTTTTTCCCCACACAACCTCCATTCTCCTCCAGTGCAAGAATTTGTAGCTAAATTTAGGTTTGCAGACACATGTTGATTTTTTCCACTGAAAACTGTGAACCTCCCTCATTTACAAAAATAATTCTGTTAAAATCAGTGCTGTCTAGGGCCATCACTTAAGACCAAATAACGAACCACTTATACCGATGAGCAGTTACGCATTGGCTCCATTAGCATGGTAACAGCCATCCATGACTACTCAGTAATGTAAGTGGCTTACAATCTGCCCTTAACAATCATGCGCTATACGCCTTTAGGCTCATATGCTTCAATTGCATCTCCCTAGGGAACTCCCTGTTTAAATCATCAGACCTCTCTGCAGATACAGGAGTCAAACCATACAATGCTTGTTGTAGTACTGAAGTCAAACTAAGGGTAAAGTGCCCACTTCTACACTTTTTTCACTGAAATTGTCCCTTGGAGGTCCATGTGCCAGGCTGAGTATCCAAAGAAGAAACAGTTCCTCTAATTTAGGTTCCCAACTTTGAAAAATGGGCTTACAGAGCTTGACTCTCACTGGGTGCATCTACTGTGTGCTTTACCGTGGAGTACACTAATTAGCGATACAGTAAAGTGTCACCATCTGCATTAAAGGGGACCAAAGGGAGCAAGAATGCTCAAAAGCCCCCATGGCTCCCCAAAAGAATCCAGGAACATCTCAAAGCCAAAAAAGGAGGTGTGCACCCAATGGAAGGGAGGGGCTATCATCAAGAAGGATTATACCTGCATTGCTCGAGAGTGTAGGGGAGCTGTTAGGAAGGCTAAGGCAGAGATGGAACTGGTACTTGTGACCCAGATCAAAGATAACAAGAAGTCCTTTTCTAAATACATAGTGGGTAAAAAGAAGGTACCAAGTAATGCGGGGCCTCTGCAGGACCTGCTTGGTAATCTGGTGATAGCACCAGATGACAAAGCTAATCTCTTTAACAGATTCTTTACTTCCATAGTTCTGAGCAGAGACAGGGACATCCCCCCACACTGGGATTCCAGACAGACCCAGGGGAGGCACAGCCAGGCCCAAGGCCAGTGAGGACCTAGTCAGGGAACTTCTGGAGTGACGAGATATGTTCAGATCAGCAGATCCTTATGATCTCCACCCCAGAGTGATGAAGGAATTGGCAGAGGTCAATGCAGGACCCCTGGCACAGCTCTACAAGCACTCATGGTGCTCTGGTGTGGTGCCAGAGGACTGGAAAAGGGCCAGTGTGGTCCCCATTTTCAAAAAAGGGAGGAAAGAGGACCCAGGAAACTATAGGCCCATTAGTCTTACCTCGGTCCTGGGGAAGCTCTTTGAGAAAATTATCCAGAAGCACATCTGCAAGGGACCAGCAGGGGAGATTATGCTTAGGAACAATCAACATGGGTTCATTAGAGGCAGGTCCTGTCAGACCAACCTGGTTGCCTTCTATGACCAAGTCACAAAAACCTTGGATGCAGGTGTTGAGGTGGACATAGTCTTTCCAGACTTTAGGAAGGCTTTCGACACTGGCTCTCACCCCATCCTCATTAAAAAATTAGGTGACTGTGGTGTTGATGCCTACACAGTCAGCTGGGTCACAAATTGGCTGGAGGGCTGCACCTAGACAGTGGTGGTGGATGGGTCATTTTCGACCTGGAGGGATGTGGCCAGTGGGGTTCCCCAAGGCGCAGTCCTTGGCCCCGCACTGTTCAACCTGTTCATTGGCAACTTGGACGAAGGGATGAAAAGCACCTTGTTCAAGTTCGCAAATGATACTAAGATGTGGGGAGAAGTGAGCATGCTAGAAGAGAGGGACAGGCTACAACTAGATATGGACAGGTTACAGAGGTGGGCAGATGAGAATAGGATGGTTTTCAATACTGAAAAATGCAAGGTACTGCACCTGGGGAGGAAAAACCAGCAGCACACCTACAGGCTGGGGAACACCCTTCTCATGAGCACAGAGGCAGAAAAGGATCTTGGAGTCACTATTAATTCCAAGATAAACATGGGCCACCAATGTGGGGGCACAGTCAGGAAGACTAACCATACCTTGTCATGCATCCATAGATGCATCACGAGCAGGTCCAAGGAGGTGATCCTCCCCCTTTATGTGACATTGGTCAGGCTGCAGTTGGAGTACTGCATCCAGTTCTGGGTACTGCACTTCAGGAGGAATGTGGATAACTTTGAGAGGGTCCAGAGAAGAGCCACTCACATGATTAGGGGGCAGCAGGGCAGGCCAATGAGGAGAAGCTACAGGACCTGAACCTGTTCAGCCTCCACAAAAGAAGGCTGAGAGGGGATCTGGTGGCCACCTATAAACTTGCCAAGGGGGATCAGGAGGCAATGGGAAAGTTCCCTGTTCCCCCAAGCACTACTGAGAGTAACAAGGAACAATGGCCATAAGTTGACTGAGAGTAGGTTCAGGCTAGACATCAGGAGGCACTACTTCATAGTCAGGGTGGCTAGGAGCTGGAACCAACTTCCAAGGGAAGTGGTGCTCGCCCCTACCCTGAGGGTCTTCAAAAGGAGGCTAGACAACCACCTAGCTGGGGACGTTTGATCCCAGCATCTTTTCCTGCCCATGGCAGGGGTCGGATTTGATGAACTGCTTAGGTCCCCAAAATGAACGTGGGGACGCAGTCAGGAAGGCCAGCCGTACCTTGTCATGGATCCACAGATGCATCTCAAGCAGGTCCAAGGAGGTGATTCTCCTCCTCTATGCGACACTGGTCAGG